AATGTTAGAAGACCTCGGGATATTACATTTTTTGTTTCTTTGCGAAGTGGCCTGTTACTCAGGGGTTGGATCTAGGATTTTCTCGAGGGGGGGGGGCGGATTTTCAAAAAAAAAATCGAAAATTTTGTCGACCTTTTTTTTTTAGATCGAGCACAGTGAATTTCCGAGCTCTCCCAAAGCACTAAAAAGACCCTGTTTTGGAAAAATTTTCTGCGCCGCGATCCCCCCTCAAAATTAGATATTGGTGCCAAAGGTGCCTTTAGAAAAATTGAAGGATCCGTCTCTCAAAATGGATATCTCAAAATAGTACTAAGGGGGAGCCGTTGGGTCGGCAGGGGTCGAATCCCTGAGGGAAGGGCGTTCCCTAAATCCTCCCTGCTGTTACTTGCAATACTATTGTTGCAATTATGGTGCCTATGAATTTGAATTTTTTGCTTGTATACAATTGATGGATGATTTTTTTAATAGTTAGTTTGTAGTTAGTCGTTTGAAGATAAGTCCTATTTACATTAGATTTCGAATTAGACGCTGTATTTGTGTTTTTCAATTTGATATTGATCATGATTATGTATGATTAATGCAATTTAGTTGATACTCTTATCTGTATTGCAATTTAACACTTTCTGAGGTTTTTTCTGTTATGGCTCAAAATGGCTTCTTTCTGTTACTTTCAAAACTAGGTCAGAATGCAAAAATCTGATTGGTTGAAGTTGAAATTATTTCAGGTGAAAGAGAAATTGGTAATTCATTAAAAGCAGACGCTCAAATTTAAAACTTGGTTATTTGGGCCGTATAGCAAAAGAACCATTTTTTGCTTTATTGGTATCTCCGCGATAAAATGTCGCAACAAAATTCAATTTGATGTTTTTGTAGTTATTCAAAAATGCGGATTGTCACCTGCGCCTGTGGTGAATTGAAACTTGGCTTATGTAACTACTTACTGCAGTCTTCAACCTTATACAATACAACCAGTGCATCTAGATATAAACTTAATTCACGTTTTGAAGATTTGTTATTACGAGCACTTCGCGAAGTGAGTGGCAAGGAACACACAGTGTTTTTTTCCACGCAAAATCAGGTACTACAGGTAACATTATACTTCTAGCTCAGCAACCAGTTAAGCTTGCTTTTTCTTTGGCTTCGGATAGAGAGTCTACTTGCGAGATGATCCGCTTCATTTACGTTTCCTCTTAAATCCTGTTCTGATAAAGAATCTACTGATGGCTACAAGGCAGTTAAACGAAAACAAAAAGGTGAAAAAAATTGAAATGATATTTAGTGAGGATTTGTTTCGTATTATTGATCTGTCGCTTTTGTGTTAACTTTGAATGCAATTACTCGTCTAAGCTTGCATGTCAATGTGCCAAAATTTCAAGTGTGCCACTTAGTCGAAAATGAGATCGTTCTTTGATATGATTGGCTGCATCCTTTCATGCGCTAAGACATGCTGCTCGTAAAAAATTTGTTTTGTTTACCTAAGACAAAGTTTTTTAAGTGTAAAAATTCTAAGTTGCCTCCTTAAATGAGTTGCTTATTCTCTAAAAACTCCTTTTAATTAGTCTGAAGATATACAGAGGCGAAGCTTCAGTTCGCAAACATATGCGAGAAAAGTGAATAAAGGAAAGCAAGGTGAAATTCTAAAAAAAATTCTGCTATGTGTCGGAACTTGACTGAACTTGAACTTGACCTAGTATTTACATTTTAATGCAATTAGATTTGTCTTTGTTTTGATTTTGTATTTTTGTTACATCTATTGTCCCAATTATTCTCAATTTTTTTCTTGGCATTTCTTCCATTTTGGATATTTGGAAAAAAATACTTGAGAGATTTAAGAATTCGAGAGACTGGAAAATTTTTACATGTGATTTAAAAGATTTTATGGATAATGGATCCAATATAGTTCGTCTCCTTTGCCACCCTGGCAAAAAAGATCTTTGAAACCTCTCAACTTGGCGAAAAAAAGATGATAGAATCAACATATTGTGATGTCTCATCTGTGATCATCTTCAAAAAAAGTTGTGCTAGTTAACACTTTGTAGAAAAAGTTCTGTCAATATTTTCAGATATGAAGGCAGCACAAACAAAATACTGTTTTTATTCCAGAACATCGAATCTAATTAAGCGTTAATTTGAACATATGTGCATCAGCAGAATCGAAATAAAGGCGAAGCTGGTCGCAACCCACTAGCAAGAAAATGACAAAAAAGTAGCTCTATAAAATGAAATAAGAAAAGATGAAAATATGCCTTGAACAATAAAACGTTTGCTGTACAGGCAGAAGATGTAGATCACATGACCTCGCATTTGCTCCATGGGCCCTTGAAATTTTTTTTAACACTAGCATCTACACTAACTTTGCATGTAATAAATTGGAAAGCATAAGGCCAAATTATGTATAAAATATGCCTTCCAAAAACTTGCGAAATACATCAAATTGTATTTTGATATCGAGTTTATTTTATTGCCCTGTTGTTTGAAATCAATGGCTTTTTTCTGTTCATTTGATGAGTTTAACATGCATCAATTGTGATAACTTATTACTAATCGAATCTTCAAGATCATGCTATTAAAAAGCCGTAAAGATGGCACCAATATTTGCGACTTAGGAAAAAATAGTCGTATCATTACGCTACGCTCGGAAAAGCGAGCTAGTGTAATAACAGAATTTGAACCCCACAATGTGCGACAAACAATTACTCCAAAAAAGGAATTCGCAAGGAAGGCAATTTTAAAAAAAACTGCCAAAATTCCAGCATTTACTGGCAATTTTTGATATTCAAGTGTGATATCTCAGCTCCGATTGGAAAATTCATTAAAAAAAACAAGCTTGAAAATTTTCAAAATAGTCATTAAGTAGTTGGAAAGAATTAATGAACGCGACAAACAGAAAAAAAAACTGACTTAGGTTTTCGAATTTCTAAATAAAACCATTACCTATATAAGAATCTTCACTATTTTATTTAAAAAAGAACAAAATTGTGCGCAAAGTTTCAACTTACTTCAATTAAAAACGCACGGCCCGAGTAAGGGCGCTTTCACAACGTTGTTTTCGAGTTTAATAATGCACAGTATATTTATTTATTTGGGACGTCACTTTGTTTTGCCCGTTTCGAGCTCTTTTTGTAAATTTTCCTCGCTTGTGTTGTCGAAGCGTAGCTTACCATCTGTGAAAAAATGCATTCAAAAGATAGAATTCCCAGATAGGGTAAGGCTTGTATATACGATCTTTTGAATGCATTTTTTACACAGATGGTAAGCTACGCTTCGACAACACAAGCGAGGAAAATTTACAAAAAGAGCTCGAAACGGGCAAAACAAAGTGAAGTAAGGAAAAGATTGAAAATATACCTTCAAAAAAATTGTTAAGAATAGGAGTGTCACATTCTCACATCTGCTCCAAGACCGTTTGTAACTTTACTAACACTAGCCACTAATAAGGCAGCTACAGTTCCTATCAAATTGCCCATATTATGCAGCAAAAATTCGACCAGAAAACAAACCTATTTAAATGTGCGAATTTAATTATACCACTTGTTGATTAGGAGTCTCACGTCCTCGCATCTTCGCCACAGAGTAAACTAGTGGCCCAGCTAATGCCGGATCTACCTGTTTTAATATTTTTAATAGATATTGTACTGATACGGAAATACTTATTTTTCAAAATTTCAAAAAAAATGGACTTTACGCTAAACCCTAGTGTTTCTCTGCTTGAGTACGCCATTACCAACTGATGTAAAGGAGAAAACTAATAAACTAATACTCGTTCTTTCAGTTGCAATCTTTATCCCAAATTTGGCTGGGTTGTTTTAAGAAAAAATTTCCAAAATTGATCAAAATTCGAAAATGTTACTTTTCTTAATTCTATGAAATTTTCACTTCAAAATCAGGAGAATAGCCTCTGCTTTGCAGACGCTGAAATTTAGAATGCAGATTTTTGCACTCTGAGTGAACACTTTATATGAGATTTGGAGATTAGTTTTCGAGACTATTGATGAATTTTCTTAAAAAAAAATGGTAAAGATTTAACAAGGAATTTTTTTAAAGTCCATATCAGCTTTTCTACAAAAAACAGGGTGAAACAGATTACGCAGCAAAAATCTAAGCCCCATATTAGTTTAAATGAACTATCAGCTCAGAATCAGCCGGTTTGTTATTGAAACCCAAGAATAATTTCCAAAAAAAAGACGTGCATATTTTTAAAATTGACTTTTTTGAAGGTCACAGTTTTTTCAAAACACAGAGCATAGCCGCTTGCGCAGATAAGATGTACCTAACCAATTTTTTTCTTTCGGTTAAATCCTTATTTTCCGATTTGGCAGGTTAGTTTTAGAGAAAATCAAAAAGATTTGAAAATTAATCAGTATCTCAAAAAATGATCTTGTGACGTTTTTTCTATCGAATTCTGAGAATAGCGGCTTAAGCAGGGGAATTCCCCAAAATTTTTTGTTCAATTGAAACCCTTGACTCAGATTTGTGCAATTATGATTTGAGAAAATTCAAAACAAATAGGTCAAAACTCTCTTTACTGAAACTTTCGAAGGCCGTAGAACGTTGGGTAAAATTAAAATAGAAATATGCAGGCACATAGCAGAGCAGTCGGTTATTCCATTGGTATCATTTTGTGCAAATAGGTTGAGAAGTTTTTGAGAAAAATTGAAAATTCTGCAAAAAGTGCAAAATATTATCAAAGCGTTGCAAAAAAAAAACGAAAAACAACAATTCCCATACATTTTCATAATACATGTATTTTTTTTTTTTAAAAACAGGACCTTACACTAATCAAAAACAAAGCAGCAACATATGCCATTAAATTTTCTAAGCTTAAATATGATTAAATTGAAATATAACATAAGTACCACCAAATGAGCACTTTTATTTGCGACTTAGGTTAGAAAAAATTCTTCGTAATGAAACAATACGCTTCGCTTGTGTAAAAAAACTGGCAATGTATAGACTCTAATTAACGCATTTTAAACATTTTCACTAATTTTAGATATTTACACGTATTTACAAAAAGTAGATATGAACAAGTGTATCAGATTATTTTATTACAGTCTATGTGAGTTTTCTTCCGGTGTTGACTTTTGGGACATAGGGGTCTGTATTTCTCTCAGAATGGTAGTCTCAAATGTCTTCAACATCTCCAGCTCTCGTTCTAACTCTTCTTCAGTGTACAAGGGTACATCTTCACCAGTTCCAACTGAAGAGGAGAACTCTTCGATCTCGTTTGATTTCACTGGCTTGAAATCCTCCGACAAAAGTTCTTTCTGAAGCAGTCAAGTACAAAACCCATTATTTTAAATAATTGCTTTGGAAAGCATTCGGACTACAAATCAAACGACGGTTCAGAAGGATTATACGTGGCGTGTTATCTTATCTTCAAACTTTTATGTCAAGCAAGTAATCGTAGCTAGCTAAATTCGAAGCTTGAATAATTAATTACCAACAAACAGATTTTTTTTTTAAATAAACTCAAGTTAAATGTGGTAAAAAACGGTTAGTTTTTCCTAATGTAAAATATATACTTGATTCTTCAAAAATATTGCTCATGAGCTTTGAATAATGATTTTTTTTTCAGTTTTGGAACTTCTCTGAATTGATTGCTCAGTGAATCTTAAAAATCAACTTAGAAAGACTCCGAAAAAAGGAAACCAATTTACCTGAAGTCGTTCTTTCTTTCTTTTCTCCAGCAACTGCAGCATTTGCATCCTATGGTATGCCTACATAAAAAGAACTCAGAAGACTATCAACAGAAATAAAATTTAAAAGTTTGCTTCAAGTAATTTGAAATGTGAGTGAATAATTATCTGAAGTAGTAATCCATTCACCCGGTAACTTGAACGAAGGAGTGGAGTATATAGCTTACCAGTCGTTTGATATACTCTGTTCTATCTGCCTGATTTCTCGCGCTGGTCCTCGAGAAAAACTTATCCAGGGCGGGGTCCGCCTTTGAGCCTTTTTGATCTGCTTTGATTTCTAAATAATGAACAATTTTAATTTTACACTTTTGTTCTAGTAATTTTTTATTCATCAAACAAAATTAGTGAGTACAAAATGATGGCACTATTGGTGACCTTGAGTACTTTCATCGGTCCTAGAAACTTTGTGATTACATAGATTAACTGACAATGACACCCGGAACCATTTTATCCAGTCAACAAATATCGCGTTCCGATTCGTTCAACAAAAACAAGTTGCCATTAAGAATTAGTGTCAGCTTGATGAAAAATGTAATTGTTAGTATTTTCCGTGCAATTCAAATCAAACTTATTTTACAGTTACGCAGTGATAAAACTTACGACTAATTGATTTAAACGTAAAACTTTGTCTGAACCGTTCCAAAAAACAAATCGCAAAACTCTTAAACTGATAGAATGAAATAAAACATCAACTGACCTATTCTAGAAAACCATTGCATGCAAGGGCTAGTTTGTCAAACTAGCAGATTCTTCTTTTTAAATCATTCTGTCTGCTCCAACTTTTGAATCACATCATATCACAAAAAATTCCATCTGCCATCTGAATATCTAGATCAACTAAAGAGAGCACACAACAACGCTTACTGGTTTTGTTTGATGTCACACTCGGTGCTTTCGGAAGCCTCTGTCCAATTTGAGTGGCAATCAAGTTCGATTCCAGTGGCGGCTGCAGAGTGACTGACTTCCAAAAAGACTTGGCCAGCTCAATTGTGTCGGGATCGGTGCCGGAGAAAACCAGTTTCTCCTCAATTCCACTGCTGTTGCTTCCTTCGTCCACCGCAACTGCTCCACTGAGACTGTCACTTGGAGTGCTGTGATTGGTCGGAGCCAGGGGGTACTCGTCTTTTCCGCCATTCTGATTGGTTCGTCCCACTTCGGCGTCTCTGGCGACTGAAGCAGCCGAGTTCACAGGAGTTAATGTGACATGCGTCATGTTTGAGTTTCAAATCACATTATAATCTGAAGAAATTTTAGTTAGTTTCTTCGATGATAAATTCAAGTTGCTAGGCAGATGTTTATAAACTTAAGAATATTGGATCGCTGTTTATCCCATTTTGTTTCTAAAAACAGTTCACAAAAATTTCTCCGCAAGGAAACGAGTGTGTTCAACATTACTACTTTTGCCAGTAGCAAATTCCTGATTTTTGGAATGTAAAATGGGCTAAAAAGTAAATCGTTCTAGAAGCTAAATTTAAACGAATAAATCTTTTACAACAAAGCAACAGTTTAAGTTCTGATAGTTCGCACTTGTTTCACTTTCGAACGAACATATTCAAATCAGTTCTCCCATCGGATAAGTTTCATCCTTGTTTCTTGGCAGTTAAACAAACGAATTCTCTTTCTTTTCTGAACTTCTGATTCACATAAACTTCTAACTTTAACTTCAGAAGAAATCGGATGCTGCAACTCTTTTAGTCTGATTCGTGTTTTTCAGTTCTAACAGATCATCCGTTATAGAAGATTGACAACTCTCTTGTGATTTCATCTTCACTGCTTCAGATAAAGGCGTCTTCTCTCTACCCTTTCTAACCATTGAAGCCAACGAACCCGGTACCGGCGTTGTTTTTCTCACTTTTGGCGAATGAGTGTTTGAATTAATTGAGGGCGAACTAAAACGACTGTTTGTACTTCCAATCGACCTGGTTGAATTTGAAGCTGGACTCTTTGTCCTTTTAGGCGAATACGATGCCCGTAAAGATTCACTCATTGACATAGATGTTGAATTCGATATTGTTGAACCGGTTCTGTCTCTGATTCGATTGGCCAATAAAAGTTGAGCGGCTGGCGACATTGAAGCTAGACTTCTACTGCACGCTGCAGAGTTTCCAGATCTGATTGATCCGAACTTTGGCGATTTGGAGGAAACTGCTGCCAGTTTTGATTTGACCTCGTTTAGTGCCTTGCTTTTCTTGGATCTGTGATTTTTGGCAGCTTTTTCCGCCAGTTCAAGGCCAAGTCTGTCTCGCTCTGGTACTTCTGGAATCTAAAGGTAAATAGAATTTATTAATCAACTAGCCAACATATATTCATAAAAAGTGAAAAAGATTTCAAGGAAACCGGAAAAAGACTAGTGATTGATTTCTGTGATTGTCTAATTTTTTCGCGGTTGTCATTGCGACTGTCTAAAATAGGGTTGTCATTTCATGCTTTTTTCAGTTTTTCAAACCTTCTGGATTTCGAGAAATCGCATTCTTCTCAAATTTTTTTTATTTTTTCAGTTTTAGTTATAATTATTTTAAGTTTTTTTATTAAATTTCCACTTAATTTCTTGAAATGATTTCGCGCTTTGATGTTAAATTTAGAGCTGTCACACTGAAACACTGGCCATCAGAATTCTCAGAGTTTCTAGATAATGCTGGTTCCAAAATGTTAAAAGAATATAAAGAATTTTTTTTTCTGTTTCTTGTTTTGCTTTTCGGTTCTTCTTGGTGTGTATTTTCCTGTGTGTTTTCTGTCAGTATCTTGGTCTCAAATATACTATATAACACGGCAGTATCAGCAGCTGTAACTTATTTATAGAATTGCTTCTGTTCGCTAAAAAGATTTTCACTGATAATTTAATTTTGTTCAAATTTTTATAATGTTTGATAGTTAAGTTCACTATTTTTGTTCAAGGGTAGCCTATCAGTGGGAATTCCATATGCCTTTTGGCTATCCTCTCCAGCGCTAATTTATTTGCTTGTCATTTAAATTTTGTTGAATTTGTTACAATACTTGGAGAAATAAATTCTTTCTTTCTTTCTTGAATGAAAATAGTGAATGAAAAAAAAAAAGATAGATCTCTAAAAAACTTCTGAAAAATGCTGTTAGAAAAAATTACTTGAAAAAAATAACATGAAGTCGAATAAATTACAGCTAAAGAGCTTCATATTTATATCACATGAAGTAATAAATAGCCCGTAAAAATGGAAATCAAGTACCGAGCGGCAACAAAGCGACAAACTTTGGGTCGAAACCTGTTGAGCCGAAAACAAGACTGTTGTCCTACAAAATTTCATAAACTTTTATTGTTTTTTTCACCCATCCAAACTGAAACACATAACCCCAAACGGATATATTTTGCCCTCGAAATTACGCAAAAGTTGAAAAATTCAATACAACGTAAGAAACTGTTTGAATGATAAAAAAACGATAAAATGACCAAACTCAAAATCAGACATGGTAAATTTACAAAGTTGTGAAGAAGTTTCAGTTATAGTAAAACCTGAATCAATTGGAACAAAACCCATGCTTTGAAAAGTATACCAATAGGAACTCCATCAGATAAAAAAGCATTTCAAAAAACGGAAAATGAACCGACAGAAACTAGAACGAAAACCACAAACCCGAACAAAAATTGCGAATAGAATTTTATTGAAAAGATAAATACAACCTGAAACGGGCTTGAACTAATTACTATTTAAGTCAATACAAAGTCACTATTTATCAATTTTATTTGATCTTGTGCCTTAAGTTATTTACGGGAAAAAAGTCTAGTACCCTATTGCAAAACCCTTGCTTATCGCAAGGGTAATCAAACATTGAAAAATTCCTACTTTGAAAATTGGTGTATTTCCGCGAATCGGAGGCAATGAGGAGTTCCCATCGGCCAAACGAGCAGGAGTATTCTCCACTGATCCCCAAAACATGGCAGGCGACGCATCCGCACCTAGAATAAATCATAAGCACTGCAAGGGAAAATACCAGCAGTCATTATGAAATCAAGCTCAACTAACTGCTCAAATATAGTGGCAATTCAACTCTCTAACTTCTATCTATGAGAAAAAACGCCATTTTATCACAAAAGTTGTAAGGCTAGGTTTGAGGGCTAAAAACTGCATCAGCAAGAAATCCTAACTAGGGCAAAAAATCAACTTAGAAAAAAAAGTTGTCTCAAGAAATGATTTATCGAATTTCAGCGGCAGTTTTTCATCACACAAGTTGCGAATTCCTAAATGAGATAAAAAAGATCAATTAACAAAACTATCAGGCTCCTTAAATCAGTTATAAGGACTCGGTTGCAGCCTTCATTACAAAACTTGAAGCCACTAATTAACACAAGAAAGTCCGAATTACTAAAAATCAGTCTCATAAATTCAGTTATTAAAATGCAGTCGCATTTATTATTAAAGAGCAGCTAAACTCTTAAAGAGAACACAGCGGATCCATTAACGAGATATTAAACTCATTAAATCAAGTACCAGGATTCAGTCGCTAATTTCGTCACGAAAAAAATAACACCATATTAAGACGAGGAACGTTGAGTTAAAAAATATGTAACGCATTTTTCATCACTACAGTTGTTAACTCCTAATTATGTAAGAAAGATTAAGTAACCAAAAATTAGTCATATCAAACAAAATATCAGGTTTCAGTCGCTATTTATCACAAGAAATTTTAACTCCAAATGGCCAACTAAGACAAAGATGATCAACATACAAAAAGAATCATGAAATCAAATATCACGATTCAGCGACCTTTTTTCAAGACGAAAAATTGACTTCTGACACAGAGATGAGGTTGCAAAGAAATCAACCTCATTAAATCAGCTCTGAGGATTCAATTGAAAGGTTCATCACGAAACTTGTATCTACTAATTATGACAAAGATGAGCAAATAACAAAAAAAATACGCTAATTAAATCAGTTTTCAGGATTCAACCATGTCACAAAAATCAAGCTCATTAAATCAGTTATCATGATTCAGTCGCATTTTTCATCACAAAATTGATTACTCACAAACTAGTTAAAAAATTAAGTTATAAAAATCAGGCTCTTTAAATCAATTATCAGGATTCAGTCGCCATTTTCATAACGAAATTTCTTAATTCCTATAGATGTATACGGAGGATTGAGTAACAGAAATCAAACTCACTAAACAAATTATCAGGATTCCAACAAGGGTTTTATCACAAAAATTGTACATTCCTCAATTAGATTTAAACGACTTATTAACATACAATCAATCTCATTCAATCAAATATCCGGATTCAACCGCATTTCAAGCTCATTAAATCAATTATCAGGAATCCATCGCCTTTTTCATCACATTAGTTGTTAACTAATTAATACGTATAGATATACTAATTAAGACTCACTAACCAAAAATCAGTCTCATCGAAGAAGTTATCAAATTTGAGTCGCTTTTTACCGCAAGAAAATTAAACTCCAAATGACCAACTAAGCAATAAAGATGATCAAGATACAAATGACTCATCAAATCAAATGTCACGATTCAGCAAAGCGGCTTTCTTTCAACACAAAAATGAACTACTGACACAGGAATGGGGTTGTAAAAAAGTCAGGCTCATTAAATCAGCTCTGAGGATTCAATTAAACTATTCGCCACGAAACTTGTAATTGCTAATCAAGCTTGTAAATCAAGCTCATCAACCCAGTTTTCAGCATTCAATCGTATTAGTTGTCGCAAATAAATGTAAATCCATACATAAGTAAGACTGACTGAGATACAAAAAATCAGGCACATTAAATCCGTTATCAGGATTCAGTCGCCATTTCCATCACGAAATTTCTTAATTCCTATTTATATACGAAGTATTGGGTAACAGAAGTCAAACTCACTAAACATGTTTCCAGAATTTCAATGTGGGCATATCGCAATCGTTGTACAATCCTCAATAAGTCTTAAACGACTTATTAACATAAAATCAATCTCATTCAATCAAATATCCGGATTCAACCGCATTTCAGCCTCATTAAATCAATTACCAGGAATCAATCGCATTTTTCATCACATTAGTTGTTAATTACTTAATATGTATTATTACTTACAAAAAAATCAGTCTCAACAAAGAGGTTATCAAATTTCAGTCGCTTTTTAGAACAACAAATTTAAACTCCAAATGCCCGACTAAGACAAAGATGATCAAGATACAAAATGACTCATCAAAACAAACATCACGATTTAGCGAAGCGACCTTCTTTCAACACAAAAAAATGAACTTCTGACACAGGCAT